CTACTATCCTCTAGTGCTTACTCTTATATCTTCTTAATGCTCACGCACTCTAGAACTTCAATAATATTGGCTGAGAGGCCTCTAGTTAGAAGCTCCTATGGTAAGAGTACTACTTAGCTGTCTTTGGAGAACAGCTTAACTCTCCACTGAAAGAAACACTCATAAAAATTTAAAAATTTGTTTTTAAGGTAAATCCCCATCACCTTGCAACATGTAATACAACATGTTAAACACAGTGCCTGTGGATCAGTGCCTTGGATCCACAGTGAGAAAGACTTTCTTGGGTTTTATGAAGGGAAGCAGTATAGATGGCACACAGTTTAAAGATGAGAGCTGCGATCCTGTAGGGACAGGCTGGAGAGAAGCAAGCAGCCCACTAGCAGGCTGCAGAACAATTCACTGGGCATCACGTTAATATTTAATTCAGTGTGTTTCCATCAAGAGTTAGTGAGATGCCAGGCTATGATTTCACTAAGGTATGACTCTTGTGACAATTCATGAAACTCGTCAATTCTCCTCTGGAGCATCATAATAAAGAAACAGGAGGTGAAAAGAGAAGACTCCATGTTTACATTTTCTGAATTGTACATATGCATAGTATTTATCACTCCACTTCAGGGATTACAACATGTTTCCAGAACCAAGTGACTTTTTATCTTTAATTAATCAAGTAACCCTCGGCGGGTTTATGTCATTATTCTTTTTACTCAGGCAGAATGAAGTTTTCCAAAAGTTACATATACAGTTCATCTAAGAGATTATCATCTGAGGGAAATTAATCCATCTAAAATTTATTATTTGAGCTGGTAGCTGTATAACAAATACCAAAACAGAGCAATGTGTTCCTAACTTGGTCCAAGTTTCTCAGAATAATACAGGCCACATCTACAGAAAGTGTGGACACCTGTAGCCAAATAAGACATGCTCACTCACTAGCGATCACAGTGGTTTCCAGAAGTGTCTTTATGTCATTAGCAGTATCTTAATTCACCCCAAAATCACACACTTGGGAAGCTGTAATGGAGGGTGGAAATCTTCTCCTCTTTGTGTGTGTGTGATTGTGTTTTAACTTAAGAAAGTGCCCAGAAACAATTGCAATCTTTTCTAATAGAGTTATCCTGTCCGGTAGAAACATGAGGAAGAAGAGGAAGAAGTTTCACATACAAAATATAGGATGGCAAATTCGCCAAAGAAATAGTAAGAATATTTGCTTGCAAATGTAATCTGAGGTCACAGTCTTCCATGGAAAGAAGTATTCTGTTCAGAAACTTCAGCACTGCCTGTAAACATGTAGCACCACCTGAAGACAAAAAGTGTTTTGGTTGGAAAGAAGGCAAGGCTTATATCAGGCTGTGTTTCCAAAGGAGGACAGTAGTACTAGCTGACCCCACTGCGCACAGCAGAAAAACATTCCAGGAGCAAATCACACGCATTTGAAAAATTTCAGGCTACTGGATGCATGAAAGAAAAATGCAAGCCCGGGAGGAGGAAATATTTCCTCTCATAAAAGATGCTTTTGAGGATACCTGGGATGCTGGGATTCCTCTAGGAGATACAGTGTCAACCCTTCTCTCTCCAGAAACAAGTAAAATATCCCCTCCCATCCAAAAATCACCTCCCCAAATCTCTTGTCAAGCTTCCCATTGGCTTAGAAAACCATGCTGCAGCTTCCAAATACCCAGTATCGGGAGAAACTTTGAGCAGGGCTTCATTCAGGAATTTAGATAGGATTAAAGCTTTTCCTCTTCAATGAAAACAATAAGGAAGTTTGCTGAGAGGTTAACTTGCCAGAGAATAAATGTAAGTCATACACACCGAGAAGTTATAAATCTCTCCCCAGAAAAAATGCCTATCAGCAGCTCAAGCCAGCCCAGCTTTTAAGAGCATTAAAGCAAATGCACTAAGCCTAATATATTCACATAGAACACACGTGGTGGCTGGTTCACATGCTTCATAACTTAGAGGGCAACTGCTGCTGTGTGGGAAATGGATGCTGTGACAGGTCGCTGGTGATTTATACTGCAGCACTCACAGAGGAGTGGACAGCCAGGCTGCCCGGGTGCCCTCAGGTCCTGCCATGTTCCACTCAACAGCAAACCCAGATGGGGGCATCTGATCTGCTTTGGTTGGGGGCATGGAAGTAGGCATACAGGGGAGGCTGCAAGCCTCATTTCATCATATCCAGACTACATAAACTGTCATAGATTTTTTTCAGTAGACTGCAACCCAAACACATATACAAAGAATGAATTAATTGGTTAATTAACATGTATACCTGCTATTTCATTTATTAACGTTGAAAATTGTCATCTCCTCTGAGATCCTGGGACTTCACCCAGTGCCTTTGCTTGTGGCTCTACAAAAGCCAACTAAAAAACTACCATCCCCCTCTTCCAGCATCAAGTTCTCCTCCTACGCTGACACTGCTCAGGGATGCCCTTTGTTATGTCATAACAATTTCACAAAAATCTACAGCAGCTTCAGATGTTAGGAAGTGGGAAAATACCCAGTGCTATTGTGCTTGTCTCCATAATCCTTTGTCACCAATCAACAAAGTCTTTAAAACATCCTGCTGAAAGGGAATTTCACTGCCAGTAAACTAGACACTTGGCCTTATTAAGGGCACCTCCTACCGGTCCTTTCATAGAGTAAACGATGCTTTCTTCATCATCAATTCCCTGCCATGTTCCTAAAGAGGGGAAATTGCTACTAAGAGAAAGAGGAGAAACACACTAATGAGCAAAGACCAAAGCGATTTGAACCAACAGTGTCTTAAAAGTGCAACATCCACCTTCCTGGGACCTGTGCAAACTACACCACAACTCGTTTGTAAATAACAGAAATGGATTTAGAAGTATAGGAAAACTTAAAGATTTAGATCCACAAGTCTATCCACAGGCATATCCCTTATGTATGTATGTTTTTGTCTGCCTTTTCAAACATAGACTTGTCTGTTGAGGAGGAAATTAAAATAAAGCAGTAATATATGGCCCTAGCTCTCTAGACATGAAACGAATGAGTAGGAAGGGGGATGTTTAATTAACTTAGATATTAGTAAAACATATATAAATTCATCTCTATTTATTTATCCCCACCCTTCGCCAAACAAAGTCACTTGGGAAATGGCTTTAAAGTATTTTAGTGTAATTGACAAAACGTCATTGTTCATTTTTTGCACACCTTGCCTAATGCGATATTTTCAGCCAACGCATTTCAGGCCTTCCCCGGTGGACCTTCTACCCAGCAAGGGATGCCCCCTCTGAACTTCCCCTCTCCCTGCCTCGGCGGTCTTCCAAACTGCAAGAGAGCGCGCAAGTGAATCTTTGTGCAGAAGGAGGTCCTCCTCGCCGCGGCGTCTAGCGTCTGCGGATCGCGACTAGGGAATTTAAAAAAGACACCTATTCATTACTGCGGGGATGGCCCACCGCCCACCTTCCACCAGAGTAATTGCGGAGGACAAAGCTCTGGGAGAGAGGAACCCTGGGAGGAGGGGACCAGCCCGAGAGGGAGGGAGAGAGCCTGGGCTTCTGGGCGCGCGGATGCGGGTACGCGCGGCCCGTATGCGCGCGCGCGCGCGCGCACACTCACACACACACGCACACTCACACACACACACACACTCTCTCACTCCCCTCCCTCGCTGGCTCTGTCTGGCCAAATGAAGATGAGGAGTCGGGTCGCTGTGGATGCGCAGATTCCTAATCAACTTTGGTCGCACTAGGATTTGGGGAGCCTCCTGCTGGCTCCGTGCTTGACTGTCCGAATCCCTAGCGATGGGCAAAGACGCATTCTCCGCTCGCGTTCCCAACCCTGGGCCACGCAGCACTTAGCAGGAACAAGAAAGCCGGAGCTTCAGGCTCCCGGGATGCTCGGGGCTTGGCCATGATTTACATTCCATTCCCAGTTAAATTTCCAAGGCGCGGGTTGGGGCGCTCCTACCCAATGCCTGGCCTCTGCTGGCGGCTCCTTTTCTTCTGGATTTGGGAAAAGGTCGTTTCTGAAGGGATGTGAGTGCTCAACCTGCTACTCTCCCCTCCTTCCTCGCCAGGCCCACTCCCTGTACCCCAGTGCCCATCCACTCGTGTGGAGAGGCCCGGAAAAGCCAGTCGACGTTATAATGAGTCATTTTGCTCTGTCTAAAATTATTTTGGCCGTCGAAGCCCCCAGCTCCGTATTTGGAGACTGCAGCATCCCTGAGCGTCCCTCAGCTCCCTCTTTCTCCTGCTACAACCCAATCCAATCCCCAAACTGTTTTGCCATTTTTAATTAGAAACTGAGCCTGCCAAATGCCAGGGCCAGGGGGCCAATTCCCTGGAATATCAATCATTTGGAGTTTGGAAGTGTCCTGGAGATATTTGGAGACTTAGCTTGAGAACTGGATTCACCGGTAAAATATAGAATAAAATAAAACACGCCTCCTTCCTCCTGTCAACTCTGCGCCTCCGAAGTACCAAAACGTTAGCTGTCCCTCTCTCGATTCTTGTCAGCAAGTCTAAAGATCCAAACCAGAGCCGCATATAATCGCATACAAACGACTCAGCCCCACCATTTACATTCCGCACACACTTCCTCAAAGCCCCCTCGATGACCTCCTCCGCTTGGCCCTGTTGCCCCAAATCCCTTCCTTCGTAGGTTTCCGAGGCTTTGAAGATCCAACCCAGCTCCTTTCAACGACACCCCCACCATCTGCCTCCTCCCTACCCCAACCCGCCAGCTCTCCAAACCAACGCAAGTATTTGCAAAAGCAAAGATGCGAGAATCACCAGATTAAAAAAGAGCGAAGGAGCGCCCCTCTCCCCAGTCGCCAACATCCTCCGGCCCCAGGAAAAAAGTCTTCCCGTCCTTTATCATCGGTGAGGAAAAGGGGCGCAGGGCGACCACCGAATGTCTTGCTCTTTTTCCCTCTAGCCCAATTCTACTACTTGCCAAATGAAATGAAAGGAAAAGGAAAAGGGGGTAAGAGGTGGGGTGCGAAGAAAAGAAAGGAAAGAACCTCTTACCGGTGACTTGTAGATGTGCGCTGAGCAGGGTAGCTCCGAAGAGTACAAAAGCCAGCTTGGGTACCCAGACACATCCGAGACTATTCTCCATATTTCAGCCAACACCTTCGGGGCCGGGGGTCCTGGGCAGCGGCGGCACTCACACACATGCACTCACACACGCATGCACACATGCACACACACGCGCCGAGCCCCTTCGGCTTCCTCCTCCTCCTCGTCCTCCTCCTCCACCTCTTTCTCCACCTCCCCTGCGCCTCTTCTGCCTCCGAAGCCTTTTTCCTCGTCCACTGACAGACTCAGCAGCAAAAGGAGGCAGCAAAAAGTTCCATTCAGTCCAAGAGATCCCGAGCCCCGGTGAAACCTTGGAAAACTAACTCAAGGAAACAGAGGGAGCAAGGGGAGGGAAGACAGCTCTCCGCGGGGCTTGCAAGTCATCAATAAGCAGAATATCCAAGAGGGACCAAGAGGAGACAGAAAGCAATCCTGTGGCTGGGCTGTGCATTAAAAGGTTGAAGCTGGTTCCCTGTTCTCGGCTGGGTAAAGTTGAAGAGGAAAATCCGCGCGAGAGCAGGGGATGCTGTTCGTTTATCCTCCAAGAGCAGAGGGGACCGAGGGAGGAGAGGCAGGGGGCTGCGGGGTGGAGCTCTCTCACTTGTTACTGGGGTGTCCGCCAGCGGTGTGTGAGCTGGGAGTTGCAGTCTTACTATCCATTGATCCTGAGAAGTGGAGGGCTGGAAGGGAAAATGTGGAGACTGGAGGGAAACGAACTGGATCAGGCAAAGATTCCACGAGAAGGGGGGTGGGGGCAGAGAGATGACGGCGAAGGGAAAAAAGAGCGGTCGCAGGAGGCTTCCAGCAGCTGCATTCGCCTGGTCTACATATCAATGAGCAGGGATGCCCTCTGTGGGCAAAGCGTGGGAAGTCACTTTTGTCAATGGACCAGCGAACATCGTGAGCGTCTGGGGGTTTTGCAGCTCTTTTGACACTAAAGCTCTGGGAAATTATTTTTATTCGACTGTAACACCTAGGCAGGTGTTTAAGCTGGGTCAGATAACCAGGGCGTTTACTTCCTTCTCTGACCCCAGTATTATTTAAAATAGAATTTTTCATCTGGAAAGAATTACCCAATCTAATTCCCTTCTAGGACAGGTAGGAAACTGAGGTCCCGAAACACAACGAACAAATGCCAGACCACTATTTCCTGACATAACAGCTAGGGTCCTCTTTTTGAAGGACATCTTATTTCATCTGTCTCCTCTCTCTTCTAGAGGTGATTCAGTGTTTTATCCCACAATTTTTAAAGCATTTACCATGTTCCTGGTGCCCTGTTAGCTCCTAGGAAATACATATATCAGGTTTAATAAGATTTAGCCTCTATCTTCAAGGAGTTTGTGATCTGTTAGGAGAAAGACATAAATGGATAATTATAAAATATCATGATAAATATGACAGTCTAGGTAATGAAGAGCTTCTCTGGGAGAACATGAGAGACGCTTCTCCAGGCCCTGGGACGTGAAATGAAGCAAGTTGCAGGAAACTGTTAAGCTGTCTTTCTTTGCATATCTTATCTCCATTGCAGGACCTCAAGCTCCTTTGAGAGTAGAGGCTGTATGTCGTTCATCTTTGCACCCCTCACAGATCTGGTGTAGGACTTGGAATACCACACATACCAACATGTTTTTGCTGAATAAGCGAACTTACAAACAAATGAATTTGGCTAGGAAGGATGGTGAATAGAAATGCCTTCCTGGTAAAAGTTCTATCTTTTAAGGAGCTATTCAGCTGCAGGTTTCTCTCCACTCCTCGCTGTATTACACTGTCTATTCATTTCTTCTCTCATCCCCACACTTTCCCATAACTATCTTAAACTCATCAGTTTCTGAGAGGAGAAAATGCAAGTGTCTATTTTAAGTGAAGGGGGAGAGCATGAAAAATACAGGATAGAATCAGTAGGAAAAGTCCCATGATACTAGAACTGGAAGACAGTGTTTCTGGATGATTAGCCGTGACCATCCATTCCTGTCTTGGAAAAGTTACAATAAGAAGTACCTGTGATCTCCAGATCAAAACCCCCTGAAGTAGCTTAGATGGACAGGCCTTTTAGAATGGAATGGAACTCTTTGCTGGCCCCCAAATTTCTAAAAACACTCAAAGCTTCCCTTAGCTGAGGATGAGGTCTTTGGAGGTACAGGCTCAGGGTCTAGGACAAGGATCCTTCACTGGGTCCATTGATCTTCCTGGGAGGTCCCTGCTGACAAACTTTAGGGAGTTCATGAATATCCTGAAGTTTTCTGTAAAATGGTTGACTTCTGTGCACATGCTCTTTTTTCCAGGGAAGGAAATCTTTAGCATTCATGAGATGCACAAAATTAGTTCAAGCATGCCCCCTGCCAAAACAAGGGAAAGAACCGCTGGATTAGAAAGTATGGTACAAGGAAAGAGTTGTAATCTCTTCCAGACAGAGTCATAAAATCCTCTGTTCTCCTCACCAGTTAAAGATGTCCACAAAGAGTGGGAAGGTAGGAACCAAAAATGGTCTATGCTGTTCAAATCCCTTTAAATGGATACTGCGCACTCTACCACAGTACGACCAGTAATTAAGTTACTCTTCACTGTGGTCCTTGACTCCTATACCCTGAGTAGTCCAGGCCATCTTCCCACTGACCTATGAGCCTCTACAAATGATCGTCAACTTCTCTTCCTCTTAGATACTCATTTGGTTCTACAGTGAGCTTCTGACAGTTGCTTGTATTCACTTTCCCAATACGCCCTCCTTCTTCTTAGAGAGATGACTTCTCCTTGATTCTGGAGTCTTCTCTTGGAAACAGCTTCAGTATTTCCGGATTCACAGCATACAATTTATATTTGGGAGGCAAAACACCTCCTCTCAGAAATGTCAGGCCCACTTCCCAACTAGCTTCCTTATCAGGAAAAAAGGAAACCAAAAGGTCAAATAGGAAGAGAAGAGAAATGGGAGCTACAGGAAATAGTTTAGTATAATTAATCCTCTTCACATGGTCTTTGTGACACTTGGTGCCCAGAGTCCCCTTCAGGGGTTTAATCTGGTAATAAAATGTACAGATACCTGAACACATTTTTGAGTTCTGAAGGCAATTCATCAATATTTATATTTCCTTGAGCTACATGTACCCTCAATTATGTGTGTCATGTGTGTTTGGGGGGGACATCAAGAACATTGATTTTCTGAAATTAGCCCAAGAGGATGAGTCAAATCAAAAATAGGTAATTTATTTTAGGGTCCCCATTATGGAACTACATTTCTTGTCCTTCCTTAATTCAGAAAATTAATTGTCTTAGTCTATTTCTATCCTTCTTTCAATATCATGATCTGACTTTAAAAGATACTTTCTATAACATGTTTTAGAAATTTATTTGCAAAAACAATAACATCTAGTCAATGGTACTTGTTAGCCTATGAATTGGACTACACTGCAAATCAAATCATATGAATATGACAAAGTAATAATTCATTTAGTCATTTATTTAAGAACACCAATTATTATATTAGACATTTGGGATATGTGATATCTATATAGAATGTACAATTATAAATAAGATATAGTAATTGCCCTTGGCTAATTTACACTCATGGGGTGAAGGGATGTATTTTAGTTGACATTTGTTGGTTGGGTTTTTTGTTTTCTTTTGTTTGTTTGTTTGTTTTGCTCAGAATCCATTCTTCTTCATTTTGCTAACAGGTCTCACATTTTGCTCTGAGGGCACTACTTCTCAACATTCTCAAATACAAGGTTAAGGAGGTGGATCCTGAGTCCTTTTAGTCATACTGAGTAGCCTGTCTTACTGATCATGGGGATAAATTCAGAGCTGAGCCCATCGGCTAATCAGAGCAAAGGAGACATTGTCTGAGGCTTTGAGGAATGAGAAGCTTTCTGTCCCTCGTGGGGGTACTCCTAGGAGAAACCTCTCTTCCCTCTGGATTGTGGGAGCATATGAGCTTCAATGAAGGTGCTAATTTAGGAGAAATATTGGAGGTTCCATCATATCCCTTTGAGGAACCTATAGTAGCCAGAATAATCTTCCTCTTTTCCCCTCCAAAGATGCCCACATCCTAATCCCTGGAACCCAGGAATATGTCACCTTACGTGGAAAAATGGATTTCCAGATGTGATAAAATTGTGGATCATGAGTTGGGGAAATTTTCCTGGATTATGATGGTGAGCCCAATGTAATCACAAGAGTTCTTAGAAAATGGAGGAGGGAGGCAGAAAGTCAGAGTCAGAGAAGGAGATGTGATGAAGAAAGCAGGGGTCGGGACAGTGTGATGCCATTGGTGGAATGGATCATGGGCCGAGGAATGTAGACCATCTCTGAAAGCTGGAGAAGGCAAAAGACAAATTCTCTCCTGGAGCCTGCAGAAGGAACACAGCCCTACCAATACCTTAATTTTAGCCCTGTAAAACTTTATTTATATATATACATGAAAATATATATAAACTTTATTAATAAATATATAAATTATATATATAGAGAGAGAGTGGAGGTCATAGATATATATATATATATATGTATCTTGTAAGATAATAAACATGTATTGTTTTAAGACACTAAATTTGTGGTAGTTTGTTTTAGGAGTAATGGGAAGCCAGCACAGATTTTGATACTATGAAGTGAGGTGCCGCTATAAGAAATACTTAAAAATGTGCAAGTGGCATTGGAATGGAACAAGGAGCAGAGGCAGAGAGAATTTTAAGGAGCATGATAGCAAAAAACTTCGATTGCCTTGAATACACTGTTGGTAGAAATATGGAACCTAAAGGTGCATTTGGTGAAGGCTCATAAGGAAATGAGGAAGATTTTATGGGAAACTAGCGGAAGGAGGATCCTTGTTACATAGTGGCAGAAAACTTAGCACAATCATGTCCTACAGTTATGCGGAAAGCATAAGCTGTAAGTGATGAATTTGGATATTAACTGAGGAGATTTCCAAGGTATTGAATGTAACTGATCTCTCCTTGCATCTTATAGGAAAAGAAATAGAATGAAGGAAGAATCATTAAGTACAAAGAACCACAACTTGATGATTTGGGAAATTCTCAAGCTTATGCAGATTACAAAAGACACTGAAATTAAAAGATTCACAGTCAAGAAAGTGTGCACTGGAGAGAAAGTTAAGGGTGTGAATGGACCAGCTTTTGCTCCTGCCTCAGAAAGATCAAGAGGTCAGAGCATTCA